GGTGGTTGTGGGGTCACTGGGGTGGTTGTGGGGTCACTGCTGCTGCTGTGGGGGCTGCGTGTTGGTGTAGGGTCTCTGGTGTTGGTGTAGGGTCTCTGGTGTTATTGTAGGGTCTCTGATGTTATTGTAGGGCCAGGGGCACTGCAGGAGCTGGGTATTATTGTAGGGTCGCTGGTGTTATTGTAGGGTCAGGGGCACTGCAGGGACTGGGGTTTGTTGGAGGGTTTCAGGCACTACAGTGCTGTGTGTTATTGCAGGCTCTCAGGCGCTACAGGGGCTCTGTGTTATTGTAGGATCTCTGGTGTTATTGTAGGGTCGCGAGGGCTGTAGGATGTGGGTGTTATCGTAGGGTCACTGCTGTTATTGTAGGGTCAGGGAACTGCAGGGCTCTGTGTTAGAGTGGGGTGCCTGGTGTTGTTGTTGGATCTCGGGCGTTACAGGGGCTGGGTGTTAGTGTGGGGTCACCGGTGTTACTGTAGGGCCTCCCCAGAGACAGCCCTATATCACATCACACAACTTTTCCCAGAGGATTTCTGAGCTGCTCCAGGGAATCCCTGGGTGCCCCTCTGTTGTTGTAGGGTCCCCTGGTGCAGGTCCATCACTGTAGGGTCTCCCCATGCCAGTTTGTTATTGTGGGGTCCCCCTTTCAGTGTATGCTGTTGTGGAGTCTCCCCTAAACTCGGGTTTGTTACTGTGGGTTCTCCCTGTTTGTTATTGTGGGGTTTTCCCTTCCCGGGTGTCACTGTGGGGCCTCCCCACCTCAGTCTGTTACTGTGGGGTCTCCCCTTGCTGGTGTGTTATTGTGGGGTCTCCCCACGTTTCTTTGTTATTATGGGATGTCCCAATAATTCGTTGTCATTATGGGGTCTCCCTCCCCATAAGGGTTTGTTCCTGTGGGGTGTCCCCATGCCAGCAGGTGCCAACACCTCACGTGTCACCTGCTGCTCTCATGGGGTGGCCTGGCTGCTTCGGGGGTCCTGGCTGCCCCACCCTGGGGGTGGCACGGGGACAGCAGGGGACAGTGTCCCCCTGTGTGTCCCCAGGCATGGGACAGACCCCCAGCTTCAGGGACAGACTGTAGGGACAGGGCAGAAGGGACAGGGAGGGACGTTGGGAAGCAGGGAATGGGGTGCTGGGCAGGGGGATGGGGTGCTGGGGTAATGGAGGGATGCCAGAGGATGGGGTGCTAGGGCAGGGGGATGGGGTGCCTGGACTGGGAGAGGGGGAATGTTCAGGTGAGGGGTGTCAGTGTGATGAGGAAGTGCCAGGATGGACAGGGATGCCAGGGAATGTGGTGCCAGGACATGGTGGATGCCGGGGATTGGGGTGTCAGAGTAGTGGGGCATGCCAGGAGATGGGGTGTCAGGATGCCAGGGGATGGGGCACCAGGAGAGTCGGGGGATGCCAGGGGACGGAGTGCCAGGTTAATGGGAGGATCCCAGTGGATGGGATGTCAGGGTGCCAGGGGATGGAGTTCCAGGAGAGTCGGGGGATGCCAGGGGATGGAGTGCCTGGACAAAAGGGAATGCCAGGCAATGGAGTGGCAGGGCAGGTGCCTGGGATCCAGGGCGGTGCGGGGGT